TGTGTGTGTGTGCGCGTGCGTGTGTGTGTGTGTGTGTGTGTGTGTGTGAGAGAGAGCGTATGAGTGTGTGTGTAAGCATGCATGTGTGTTTATGTCCCAGCATTCCCTCACATCCATCACCTCTCGTCCTGAGAGCTGCAGACGCTGATATGTGCAGCATGATAATCTCAATTTTTGCTACATGCAAGAAAACCTGTGCTTCACCTTCACCTGTTGTGCCCAGGAAACATTTCAGAAATTGAAAACATTATTTAAAATATTAAAAATATTTTATTACTATTAAAAAAAAAACTAATTATTAAATTTTATTATTAAAAATTTATTTTATTATTATAAAATAAGTTTAATATTATTACAAAATGACAAGCATGATTATTATTATAGAAATTGTATTATTATAAAAGAATGTATTATTATTAAATAATTGTATTATTGAAAAATATTTAATTATTAAAAATTACTATTTTAAAAATAGTATTGTTATTATTATAAAAATATATTTTATTATTATAAATTGTTTTAATATTATTATAAAAATTATTATTATAAAATCAATATCATTTTATTATAATTTTGTATTATTATAGTTATTTTAATATTTTATATATAACTTATTATTATTGTCATCATTGTTTGTCTATTTATATTTATTTTATATACAGTATAACTTTTAAAGAACTTAACAACATTTATTCTGGTATATTTTTTGCAGTTTATTGAGTGGCCCCAGGTGGCGCTGAGGAGCACAAGTTTTTATTTTTGATTTTTTGTATTTGTGATGTAATCATTTATGCTTTTATTAAGGGCATGTGCATAAGCTGTGCATGTCAAATCTGGATGCTGTGCTCACTAACCTCAAAAGGGCTTTATTATATTACTAATGTAAATGATGCTTGAATAGCAGTGCATGAGTAATTATCATGCCTTATTCAGGAGCATTGTAAAGCTTATGTATATTAACTAAAGCACAGCTGTCCTGAACAATGATGTGTTACACAGTTTAGCATAATTATACACAAATATTTGACCACTGAATAAGCATTGAACAATCAGAATCAAATATCACTCTAATAATAGAGTCATTTGCATTTGACCTCAGATGTCACAGTAAACTATGAATATAAAGCTGTGCTTTGCAAATACTGAAATATGTTTTAAAAGTAGACGGTAGAGATAGAAAAAAAGCTCATTAAATGCTAATTGTTGTTGGCTGGACTATTGACTTTTATTTCTTGTTTCTGTTCTTCATCACATGACCGTGTGTCGCAGGAATCAGTCTAATGTGCGCTGCATGCACACGGCCGTCAAACTCAATGAAGTGGTGGTCAATAAGTCTCAGGGAGCTCATCTGGTGCTCCTCAACATGCCCGGACCACCCAAGAGCAGAGGCGGCGATGAAAACTGTATCCTTACACAAACTACACTCACAAAACTCACATTTATAAAAACACATTCATCTCTAAATCTGAGTGGATGAGCCACATTTGAATCAGTTAAACATACTTGAAATTAAGCTGAAATCAATTCAAATATACAGTAAATATGAAATAAAACCTAAACAGAAATGTAGCAACTAACTGAAATAAGTTTCATTTGAAGCACTAAAATTACTTAAAATTAATATATGCGAAAACTGAAGTAAAACTAAAACTGATGAAAAATAAATTCAACCTAAATAGTAATATTAAAAAATAATAATGATAAAAATGACAAAAGCACATAACAAAATTAAGACAAAAATTATGCAAAATCATAATAGTTTATAAATAATACTAAAATAACATTTCATTTTTAATATTTCATTTTACTTCCATTTATAGTTATTATTTCCATTATTTATACAACTATATTGCTCAAGGTAAGGGTTATTTATTATTATTATTATATTTGTAACACATTCTTGATTTTAGTATATTTACTGTTTTACTACATCTGTTTTTTTTATCACGGTTAACAGGATTTTAGGCATTAAGCGTCATGTTTACTGTGGTAAAATCACTGTAATGTACGATCTTGAGTAGATTATGGCTTTATTACTTAAAATCTCTCTTACTATACAAAGATGTCTCTCCGGAAGCGTTATTTGGAGTGAAAAACATGTTGATCCTTGATGCTGCGCCTCAGACATGGAGTTTCTGGAGGTTTTGATGGAGGGTCTCAACCGGGTCCTGTTGGTGCGCGGCGGTGGTCGTGAAGTCATCACCATATACTCATAAAGCGGACTGTGGCAGGAATTCAGGTTTTATTTTCCCCAAAGCAAAACTGGACATCATGGAGACAGCTAGCGGCGTTACGTCTGGCTGCGTTCGTTAGAGGAAGAGACTCGACATGAAGGAAACGAGACGAGCGATGGCTCGATTCATAACACGACACTTTAATTTATGACTCTTACTGTTTTCTTTGGTTTGTTCGTACAATCTGTGCTAGTTTTTATGTCTGTTTATTGTGCAACATTGTTTGGTTTTTCCGAAGGCTGAAACGTTGAGTGATATTCAGCAGGTAAACATTTGAGTTGCTAATGCCTGTTTAATATTGATTCATTCGTCTCCATTATGAACCTGCATTGCTTTTTTATTTGCATATGCTAGCTACGATTCAAATCACTTGATACCCAAAATAACATCTAGCTTCAGTGAACCAGGCCGCCAAAACAAGTGTGTGTGCTGTTTGGCATATCCAAGACGCAAAAACGCACTTTTTCCCATATCAAGGGAATGTTTGAGTTTTTTACATTTGGATAATTTGAACAATAATGCAGCGCAGATGATGAATGTGTCGGAAGACGTTACTGACTTCGTGATACGGATTGTGCAATAACTTTTATTCATTATCAAGGCATCACTAGCTGAACATGTCGTCCACTTACTGAGGGTTTTATATTATAAAAGTTTAAATGTTTAACGCAAACAGCGTTCAAGGAGAAAAGCCATAATGTTAGGTCTCGGTATTGAGTACTGAGGTTTTGTTTTGGCTCCATCTCGGCATGAATCAGTGAAACCAGATTAATCAGGATATTTTCAGCTGTATTTGCACTTTTTATTAGATTTTTTTTTTCTTTCGTAAATTGTATGATGAAAGCACAGGGCACGGCTGGCCCATCCAGCACAACATTTGCTGATGATCAAAACCAGCACTGCAAAATCTTTTTCTCTCAGCAATAAATGTGTTTTTCGATGAGCTGGAATGAAATTTAATCTCTGTCTTGATGTTCATGACGATATTGGGTTGCCCGGTATGTTAAACATGGAGAATGCTTAAAGGGGTCATATGATGCTTTTTTTAAAGCTCATTATTTTGTGTATTTGGTGTAACAGAATATGTTGACATGCTTTAATGTTAAAAAAACACATTATTTTTCAAATACTGTACATTATTGTAGGTCCTCTATGCCCCGCCTCTCTCAAACGCTTCGTTTTCTACAAAGTCCCTCCAAAGAGAAAGGAAAACTTGAAATCGCATCATATGACCCCTTTAAATTAAACGGCATTACTATTAAGAGTAATGTTTAAAAGCATCCAGTTAATGATCGTAATCTATTAGGATTGAAGGTGAAGTGTGTTTTTCCTAGTGGCATCAAACGGAATTGCAGTTTGTTTGTTTGTTTGAGTGACAACTGAGCTGGACATTCACTCAACCAATAGAGTGAATTTGGGGGCGGGGCTATTGGTTTCTGACCAATAGCTGATAGGGGGAGTGTTTAACATTTGTTTGAATACAGTAATTATGTTTAGAAATGACACACTTCACAGGTTTAGGAACTATTGTGTTTAGACAATCACAAAGCAGTGTTAGCTAGATTTACATTTTATTTTTGCTGTTGTTCATTTTCTTTCAACACACCGTGTTCTTATCAGGGGATACAGTGACAAGCAGTAAGCCATATCTGTCAATCTGACCTGCGACCCGCCTCATTGGTCCAAAATCACTGCATATTAAACAGCTGATGTATTCTGATTGGCTGTGACTTTGCAGGATTTTGTCTGTTTTCCGCATTCATTCAACTTGGTTAGGACACGGTGTCACATGCAACGTACATTACCGTGCAAAAGATTTTTTGTTTAAAAAAGAAATATACTTTTATTCAGCAAGGATGCATTAAATTGATCAAAATGACAGTAAAGACATTTATAATGATACAAAAGATTTCTATTTCAGATAAATGCTGTTCATTACAACTTTCTATTAATCAAGGAATCCTGGCAAATAAAATGTGTCACAGTTTCCACAAAAATATGAACTGTTTTCAACATTGATAATAATCAGAAATGTTTCTTGAGCAGCAGATCAGCATATTATAATGATTTCTGAAGATCATGTGACACTGAAGACTGGAGTAATGATGCTGAAAATACAGCTGCGCATCACAGAAATACATTATATTTTACTATATATTCACATAGACACCAGTTCTTATGAATTATAATAATATTTGACATTTTTACTGTATTTTTGATCAAATAAATGCAGCCTTCGTTAACTTAAGAGACTTAAAAAAACATTGAAACATCTTACCGACCCCAAACTTTTGAACAATATCATCTGATGATGATTCAGAATTATAGGAAGATGAGTGCCAAAAATAAATGAAAAGAAACTGCAGAAGGTCAAACTCTATCAGCTGATGCTCATTCAGTGGGTCTGAGATGTGAAGGTCCGTCTCAGTGTTTATACCCGGTCAGCAGTGTAGTATGTTACCAGGACATTATTACTGTATTTTTCTACAGTGTGTCGTGATGTAGAGGAGGCAGAGGGATGTGCTTAGATCATCTTATCGTATGTTCTCTGAGGATGTAGTTTCTGCACTGCTCAGCTGTGGGGAATGTCTTTCCCTTTAGGAGAAATTGTGAATTTTAGGACATGGAAAATCTGGGGATTTTATGTAATTTTTTTTTTTAAATGTGTTTATTTTATTTTATGTGGTCATTTTTGTTATTCATTTTACATGCCATAGTTTTCCCGTCTTTGTATGAAGAGTTTTTTTAAAGGACCTGAAGGTTATTCAACATACACATGTACAGTTATAAATTTTCCTTTCTTCATTCTTTCATTCATCAAAGATTCACTGAGGTGTTTTGAGTCATCTGTGACCTCACTGAAAGATATGGAGATCAAAATGTAAATATCAGAATAAAACAACAGCTGAAGAGCAGAGGAGGATGATGATGATGATGAAGACTGCTGGGAGTTCTTCATGTAGTGTGTTTAATCATAGACGGACGCACTTGTAAGATCTGTGGATTTACTGTACATAGAATTCTAATTCTGCTTAGAATTCTAAATTCTTTGCAACAAAGTTCTATGCAAATTTTTGGCACAATTTATTGCCATATTTTTTAGAATACATAACCAGTGGGGTTCAAAACTCTGAGATCTTGTAGGAAAAATAAAGCGGTTTTTAAAATGTTAAAATTCTTTCTCTCTCTCTCTCTATATATATATATATATAATTCAAAAATGTATTATAGTTACACACACACATATAAAATAGCATTGTAACATTATATGCATTATAAAATTTTTCTGTTACTTTTTAAAATCCTAAAACTGTTTATTTCCAGGTTTAAATTTGATTTTGAAGAGTGCAGATTCTCAGATTTTTAAAAACCTCTGGCATGTGTACACCGTATATTGATGGATACTGAGTATTTTCAGCTGAGTGTAACACATTGTATCCCGTTTCATATTTTTACCCATGTTTAAATCCATGTTTTCTTCAAAATCAGCATAGAAACGTGGAAAGCCTGCATCTTCTGTCTGAGTCTGTTCGTAGGTCACTCAATGTCATCTACCTCACAGTGTGTGATGGCTTTACTCGCGTCCAGTGTTGTATGATGGGTCATGCTTTTTTTGTTGTTTTTTTAAAATAAGAATCATCTGTCATCCCAGAACCCTGTCTGTTTGAAAGAAGATCATGTGTGTGTGTGTGTGTGTGTCACCTGTATGTACTGACTGGGTGAACGTGAGTCAGGTGAGTGTCTTCACCGTGAGGCTGCTCTCTGGTCATAAACTGATCTGAGATCTGTGTCATGAGAAGCTCTCGGCGAGCGTCACAGACTCTGGTAGGACGTTACTCGTGAGTGTGTAGTGAAGGATCTCCCTTTTAAGTGAAATTCGTGCCTCTGAGTAATTGAAATAAAAGCGCTACACTATGTCCGAGCTTATGGGTCTTGATTTCAGTGCTTTCTGTCTCATTTCATCTCTTGATGCACAGGAAGAGGAAGTAGCTCCAGGAATGATGAAATGGGGAATTTTGCAGAGCATTTCGGTGTAGGGTAGATTAGACATTCTTCTAAAACTATTTTTAATTTTTTTGTACAATTCTTATATAATTATTATACATGCAGTTTAAGTATGAACTCAAATTATAAAGATCACATAAAAAGAAAAATGATTTGCACACACACACACACAAATTATAAAACATTAAAATAATTTGTAAAAAATGGTTCATGTGTTTAACACCAGGTGGCGCTAAAAAAAAGTGGTCTAAAATCCAAGTTAAAGTGTGGGTTCAGTCCAGCTGCAGATGGCTGTGTTTTTCTGTGTCTTCTTTCCTTGAACAGTTATTTTCATAACTAATAATGAATAACTAATGATTGACTTTTGAGCGTTTTAGATAGACGTGGCTGACTCTTAACTTTTATAAAGAATATCTCTTTGGATTTGAGACTTTAGTCTTTGCAACTTTACAGATCTTCTTTATGCACCAAGAGCTTGTAACACTCCAAAGAGAAAGGAACAATTGAAATCGTGTCATATGACCCCTTTAAGCACTGACACTCAAAATGTATTATCTTAATATGACATTGGTTTATTATACAAACTATTGTAGGATAAACAATTTAAAATAGTCAATATATATTATATAATCATATTTCTGTGTGTTTATGTGTATTATTATATAAACAAAATATATATAAATATATATATTTTTTTTATTTGTATGTATTTTTTCACCTTTTGTTGCTCTAATACTCAATATGGTCCCTTTATTGTCTTCCCTGCCGTTTATTAAACGTTTTTAAATTAATAAATTAATTAATTTGTCATCTTCTCGCTGGGTTATTGTGTTTCCATTCACTGCAGTCACTGTCTCCAGCTGTGATCAAACGAGCTGTATGCATAATTCTGCTGCCTTTTCCAATCCCACTACGGCGCAGGCTTTGCTTATGAATATTAATTGTTCTGTAATATTCATAAACCACGCCTCCGCCGTCTTCGGATTCGCCAGCTGACCCAGCGCCCACCCGCCGTCAGCCAATCAGACGGTCCTCCTTGCTTCACGTCACGCTGCGTGATTAATATTCATGCGACAAGCCTTCGCTATAGTAGGATTGGCGGATTCTCGCTCCGGTTGTGAAGGGGTTAACGGGGAGGGCGGAACTCTGCACCGGCCGCGGACAGTAGATGATCGCGATATTGATATTGAGACGCTACAGCGCTCGGAGGAACGTTTTGGAAATTCTATTTGGATTTCATTTGCATCTCTACGGGAACGTGACGCGCACGTATTGACCTGCGCTCGCGTCTTTCTGGATGATACAGATGTAACGCGACGCAGATTCCGGATACAAATGCATTTGTGAGTGTAATATTGTATCATCGCGTGTATTCAAACCGGGTCGCAGTGTGCAGGTGGAGGATGATGAGGAGGAGGAGGAAGATGAATCCATCTCACCTTTATTATTTGAATGAATAGTTATTGATTTTATACAGCTGGGAGGAACCCAAAGGCGCAATGGTCATAGTTCACACAACAGCCCTGCTCGGGTTCGAACCCGCACCCGCCTCCGGTGTGTGAGCATCCGCGCGCGACAATCATGTTGCCCGGGGTGGGTGTGTTCGGCACCAGTCTGACGACCCGGGTCATCATCCCTCTGCTGAAGAACGAGGGCTTCTCGGTGAAGGCGCTGTGGGGTCGCACGCAGGAGGAGGCGGAGGAGCTCGCGCGCGATATGAACGTGCCCTTCTACACTAACCGGATCGATGATGTGCTGCTGCATTCGGATGTGGATCTGGTGTGCATCAACCTGCCTCCGCCGCTCACCAAGCAGATCGCCGTTAAGACACTGGGTGAGTGGCAAACAGTCGCATACTGATAACATTAGGCTGATTTGGATGAATTGCACAATGGTTCCTCGTGCATGTCAGATCTTGTTTCTGTCAGGTTAGGTGTGGCTTTAATATATGACTACAGAAAACAGACCGACTTGCATCACCAGCCATTGCATTATAATTATTTTTTCTGGTCTGTAAAGCTCCAATAAGAACAGACATCTACTGCAAGTCTGAACCAGCTCAGGATGCCAACATT